ATGTCTGGGTGTGTGGCGGGGGAACTGAAATAGTCTCTGCTGACTTTTTATACCTACAGGTTTTGTTTCATTGCTCATTTTGGAAAAGGGAAACTTTTATTAGGGGACAAATTAATGGTTTCTCCGTAAATGATTTTTTTCTCTCTCAAACTCCATTGGCCTGACTTCCAGTGGCATAGAAAGGCAATATGGTGAACTTCTCAGCCCGAAAAAGATTTCCAATCAGGGCCAAGGGGCTCATGCTGAGGTGGAAAGATTTTCCTCAGTGATAGACTCTTGGATACCCATGGGAGACTTAAAAGGCTCTCAGACCACAGGATTAATGGTGAGAAAGCTTCAGGCTTTGAGGGTGTACTACCTGTAGCTGAAAGTTGATCGGGGGAACTCCACTTTGGGAAATTGGGCTTCTATTTTCTCTGCTGATATCTTATTATTTCAATCTCCTGGTTTATTTTCTTTGGATTTTTAAATTATTATTTTAGAAAATTATTTAAAAGGTTAAAAACATTTACCGTACAGATTCCAGTTTAGTTGTTTTGAAGTTAATTCAGGGATACAGTAGCCCCAAGGTGAGGCAATCGTGATTTTAGACAAGCTTCTTTTCCCCTCCCAAATTTGTATTTGTGGGCTCAGTTCTCATGATGGTGACAGTAGGGAGCTCAGTGTTTACTGTGGAATTAAAAATGTTTATTGTTGCTGCACATAGGTTGGTGTGAAAGGTACCAACTGCAAGTTTCAACTTGCAAAAACACTTGCCTGTTGGGCTCCTTTGGAATTGTCTTGAGGCTTCAGATTCTGATATTTTATGAGCATTTTGCAAAGCCACTAGGAGAAGCACCCTCCCTCTTACCTGCTCAGTTGGAGTCAGTTACAGGATTGCTCGGCAGCTGGCTGTGGACACATGGCGGGCAGTCAGGAGACCCTTGGAAGCTGTGGGAATCCTGCAACGGCAATAGGAAGAGGTGGGGACTTAGAGATAGCGCCACATATGGTCTGTTGTGCCAGGGCACACCTGTTGACACTGTGCTTTCCAAGGAAGTCCAGACATTAGAGGGTGATGCTCTCTGCCCACGGCACCTCCATCAAGCCCTCTTTGTTCATTGATTTACAAACAGCAGGAGGCAGAGAGCTGTCTCTTGACAAGATCCTGGAAGTGCCCAGCTGGTCCCTTTCCAGCCAAGTGTGTGGTGTGTCCACTTCCTGGGAGGAACTGGGACCAGGAGGCCTCTGAGCCCTTCCTCAGAGGTGTACATGCAAACGAGAGGGGGTGAGCCATACACCTGTCTCTGAGCTGGTCTGATATATGTTCATATGGGATTGAGCCCTTTTTGTCCCTCAGCTGAATTAAGAGGGTGACCACAGTGCTCAGACCCCCAAATAACCCCTTTCCCAAATTTCTCTTAAGTGCAGAATGCCTCAGGCTGTACTTTATGCCTAAGGAGTAGCTGGGAACTCAGTTGGAGATAAGTGTGAATTGCAGGATACGACTGTGAACAAAACTGATGTGTGCAACAGCATGGATGGAACCGGAGGACAGTCTGTTAAGGGAATAAGCCAGGCACAGAAAGACACATTTCTCATGCTCTCACTCATTTGTAGAAGCTAAACATTCACACACTTCTGGTAGAATTATGGCTACCAGAAGCTGGGAAGGGCAGCAGGGGGAGGGTGTGGGGATAATTAATGAGTATAAAAATATAGTGAGAGAGAATGAATATGACCTAGTATTTGATAGCACCACAGGGTGACTCTAGTCAACAATAATTTATGGTACACTTAAAAATAACTAAAAAAGTATAATTGAATTGTTTATGACACAAAGAAGTGGTAAACGCTTGAGGGGATAGGTACTCCACTTACCCTAATGTGATGATTATGCATTGCATGCTCATATCCAAATATCTCATGTACTCCATAAATATATACACTGACTATGTACTCATAAAAATCAAAAATGCCGACAGCCATGGGGTAATCCTGAGAAAGAGTGAGCAGAGTCTGGGAGGGCAGGTGCTCTGCTGTCTGACACGTCATGTCGTACCTGGGGTCTGTGGTCATCGCTGGGCACCACCTGGCAGTAGGGAAAGTGGCAAATGGAACTTGTGCAAGAGTGACTCACCCAGAAGGAAGGTGGGGAGACTGAAACCATGTCATTATAAGTCCCTTCAGACCTAGGGGGGCACCTAGTGTCTCTCAGATGTGGAAAAGGAATATTACTACTAACACGCATGATAATAAGAGCTCACATGTATTAAATGCTTGGTGCCAAACTCTAGTCCAAGCACTTCACATGTAATCCTTAAATTACCCTACAACATCATACCATTATGATCTTCACTTTATAGATGAGACAGCTGTAAATGGATAAGGATCGTGAGTTTCTTTAGAAAGTAACGGAGGGAAATACAGCATGTGTTACCATAAGGCAGCTTCAGTAAGATGAAGAGCTGTCTGATATGATATCCCCCTGTAAGGAAGGTGGAAATGGCCTGAGAGAAGAGAAGAAAAATGACATGCATTGAGCATCTAGATGTGACCTTTGGAGCTCCCAATGTATTATTTCAGTTAATCCTCACAACCACTGTGTGAGAGAAGAGTTATTATTCCCATTTTACAAATGAGGAAATTGAAGCCCAGAGACATTAAATAAATCTAAGAACTTTCCACCAGTAAGCGACAGCCCAGATTTGAATACAGGTATGTGTGTTCTCAAGTCCACTGTCACTGGTGTTCAGAACTAAGGTGAAGGTGCACAGTTGGCCCTGGGGCACAGATACCAGGCTGGTTCCCCCTGCTAGACACTCCTATGGCAGAATTTCACAAGTTGTGACGTTCTTCTGCTGCTGGCAACTTCTGTTGCTTGTCTTCCCCATTAGACTGCAAGATCCACATGGACAGGGGCTGCATGAGTCCTGCTCAGTGCCGTACTCCTGGGCACTAGAAATATTTGAAAGAATGAATCAAGACTGGTAGATCTCTTGTTCAGACGGGGGAAGTTAAAATAAGGATAATGACTCTCCTGTTGGGATATTATAGGGAGATTCTTATGTTAAATTAGGAATGAATTATCAGTGGTTTTAGTGCTAATATGTTTTCAGAATTACCTGAGAGATTTTTATACATACAGATTCCTAGGCCCATATAAGCCCCCTAGAGTCACACTCTCCCAGAGCAGGACCTGTACCTGTATATGGTATCACTTCCTGGTTGATTTGCTACCTGGCCAGCTGAGAGACCTTGGAGGATGGGTCTGAAGTCCACTTGAGATACAGGGATTCCTCACCCCACATCATCTGCCTATGGGGCTCACTTTCCGCTTCCTGTTGCCTCTGCCCAAGCTTCTCTCTGCCTTCTGGGCTTCAAGGCCAGGACTTGCTCATGGCTAGAACCTGGAGGGAGGTCTGGTGCCGAGTCAGGCATGGGACCTTATCAGCTGGATGTTTACTGAGCAAAGTTCAACCAGGGTAGCGCTGCAGATCCGGGTTTAACAGATACCCAGGTTTCCAGGACTTTGATTCAGAGCCACATCCCTGGATCCCTTATCGGTGGATGATAATGGCCTCTCTGTTGAAGTCCTAAGTGCTAGGGTTTCTTGGCTGGCCCAGGCCTGCTCTCTGAGAGCCCAGGGCCCCTAGGCCACAGGCCGTCTGGGTGGGTAGCTTGTCACTTCCCAGCCATGGCTGCTTTCCAATTGCTCTCCCAGGCCAGGAAGGGCCTTATGCACTGCCTCTTATTTGGGTCAATGCTTTGGTTTCTTTGCTTTGATGACAAGAGGGGAAGGAAACTGTTTCTCAGCAGCAGGTGGATGCTCTCTGGCCCCAGGGCACATGGATCACCCTTGGGTATTCACTCCGTGCCCTGGAAGTCACTGAGAACCTGGGAGCCACTTGCCTCCATTCTAAAGGTGGAGGAGAGGTGAAGGGAAGACAAATGGCAGCATAGCTTCAGGAGTCACCCAATAGATTAATCAGCTGACCTTAAGACAGATAAGTATCAACTGAGCTTAAGATGGATGGGCATACTACCGGGAACATATAGAGAAATAAGGTACAAGAACTCACCTTGAGAAGTTTATAAGCTAGTTGTGGGCATAAGACACATCAGAAGGAATAACTATTACATAACAGACTGAGTTGTTTTGAATGCCTACACTGTACCTGAGTTTATTTGAAGCACATACTGTTCTACCCATTTGCCACATCAGGTGACTTCTCTCAACATTCCTTTGATGAAGAAACTGAAGATTAAGAGGCACAGAGAGGTTTAATAACTTGCCCAGGATCACACAGCAAGGTGGTGGCAGGGGCAGGATTTGAGGCCTGTGCCATCTGGCTCAGAGTCCCTGCTTTTATAGCTGTCCTCTACTGCCACCTATGATGAATACTAATCAGGTCTGGAAATGTTTGAGAGGCTGTAGGATGTGGAAATTCCTCAGGCTGCAGGGGTCAGGCAGGAGGGTTGCACTTGTTTTGGGTCACCAAGAACCAAGAGGTTGAAAGAAGTGAGAGAGAATTCTGACCACAGAAAACCTCAACCACAGATGAGGGGATGAGACATGCAGGGAACACGCAGAGAAATACAGACAGACCTTCTGGTTGGAGTCAGGGATTGTGTAGTAGAGAGCATGCAAAATGGTGAGAACAATGGGTTCGGATCTCATTCTGAAGGCTTATCCAACCATCACCACCTACACTTGAGGGATTTGTGTTTCCATTTAGCAGGAAGTCTGTGCACTAAATGGAAACTGTGGGTCCACTGCACCCAGACAACTAAGTTGTAGGATAAGGAGCTGGGCCTTAGTTGTCTGGGTGCAGGGGACCCACAGAAAGTTTGGAAGCAGGAGGAGTGACAATCCTGGAGAAGTATTCTGGGAAGTGTCACTTGGTGTTCTGTGTTCAAGCATGAATTAGGGAGCAGGCAGATCCATGAGCAAATGAGCACTTTGGGGTGGGGGCTCGTCCGAGAAGGACCATGGGCTCCAGGGACATTGCTTTTCACAGCCACAGCTCCGGAACAAGCCCCGGCCCCGGCCCGGCCATACCAGGGCGTCCGCGTGAAGGAGCCAGTGAAGGAACTGCTGAGGAGGAAGCGAGGCCATGCCAGCAGCGGGACAGCACCTGCACCTACGGCGGTAAGTGTGTGATTGTGTGTGTGAGTGTGCAAGAGTATGTGTGTGTATGTGTGAGTGTGTGAATGTGGGAGAATATGTGTGTGTGAGAATGTGTATTTGTGTGTGAGAATTGTGGGCATGGGTGTCACAGTGCGTGTGTGTATGTGTATGTGTGTGAGACCGTATGTGTATGTGAGTGTATGAGATTGTGTGTGAATATGTGTGTGTGTATGTATCTGTGTGTGCATGTATGTGTGTGAGTGTGTGTGTGTCTATGTGTGTGTATGTATGTGTGAGTGTGTATGAGTGTGTATATGTATATGTGCGTGTGTGAGTGTGTATGTGTGTGTGTATGTGTGTATGTGTGTGTATGTGTGTGAGAGTGTGTGCGTGAGAGATTGTGTGTGTGTGTGTGTGTGTGTGTCTATGTATGTGTGAGAGCGTGTGTATGAGTGTGTGTATATGTATGTGTGTGTGTGTGTATGTGTGTGTGTGAGAGAGATTGTGTGTGTGTGTGTGTGTGCGTGCGTGCAAGTGAACGGGTTGGGATGTGACCAAAGGGATTAGGCAGGGAGGAGTGTAGGTCCTCACTGTGTGGGATAGTTGCTGGGAGCAGAAGGCAGAAGGCTGCATGGTGGAGGCTGCCACGGATAGAGTGAGGGTGGAGTAACTGGGATGAGGGATCGGGGCTGGCTCAGATGGCCCACTGGACACAGCTACTGTCAAGGTCTGAGTGAGCAAATGACTCACATGCCCTGGTGTGAGTTGGGGGCTCTCCCTAAGAAGAGGAAGATGCCATCTCCCTGAGAGCACAGACTTCCTGCTAAATGGAAACACAAACTCCTCAAGTGTAGGTGGTGATCGTTGGGGTACTGGGTGGGGTGTTTTGTTCTAACCAGAGAGATTCCTACCTTCTACTCTCCTGCCCTGAGGCCCTCTGGGCAAGTCCCCTGCACAGGGCCAGTTGGGGATGGCTGAACGCTGACCTTGGTCTTCTCCTCTCCCCTCTAGGTTGTGCTGCCCCATCAGCCCCTGGCGACCTACACCACAGTGGGTAAGAGTGCCCCGTAGCCCTGGTCTCTTCAGGCCTCTCATCTGGGTGGCATCTGCAGTTCCGTAATGTCCTTCTTCCCACAGGTCCTTCCTGCCTGGACATGGAGGTCTCTGCATCTGCAGTGACGGAGGAGGGTGCCCTGTGTGCTGGCTGGCTCTCCCAGCCCACCCCGGCCACCCTCCAGCCCCTGGCCCCATGGACACCTTACACCGAGTATGTGCCCCATGAAGCTGTCAGCTGTCCTTACTCAGCTGACATGTATGTGCAGCCCGTGTGCCCCAGCTACACGGTGGTGGGGCCTTCCTCAGTGTTGACCTATGCCTCTCCGCCACTCATCACCAATGTCACGGTATGTCACACAAAGGCAGAACTGCACCTGCCCATGCTGAGTGTACCTTTTAGAATCAGAACTGACTTCCTGACCCTGCTCTTCCTTAGTATTGATTCTTAGGATAATCAGGTCATCAAAGCTCGCCTTGTCCTCCATGGAGGCCTGCCCTGATTTTCATTTCCTGAAATATCTTCCACAAAGATGTCTTGCAGCCTTCTTGTCATACTTTCTGCCCCTCAGGACTGGGAAGATCTTCTCTGATTCCCTGTTCTAAATCTCCCCAGCTTCCCTGAAAGCAGTGAGTCCTGGTTCCAAGTTGAGGTTTTTAGTGAATAGGGTACCAGGTGAGATCTACATGGGGGTTTGTGTTGGAACCAGCCTTTCATTTCTATTCAGATAAGTTAGGGAGCGATTGTTCACTTAATAATGGGATTTAACAGAAGATTTCTAGGCTGAGCCACAGATGATAATTTCAATGGCATCAGACTCACGTGTAGGGTAATTCTTTAAAGTTCAGTCTCTACTGTCAGATTGCCTGTATTCAAATCCCTGCCCCTTCACTTACTAGCTATGTGACTTTGGGCTTAGTGACTTCAACTTTCTGAGCCTCAGTGTCCTCATCTATAAAATGGGAATACCAAGAAAAGGGTTGTTGTAAGGATCAAATGAGATAATGCATTTGGAGGGCTTAGCACATCATCTTATCAAAATCTGCTAACATTAACCAAGGGCCTGATGGGGAAGGAAGGGCCTCTCCTTCCCCCAGGAAAGAAGGAAAGAAGAGAAATAGATTTATGTTAATGGTGCCTGTTTGATTAAAGGAGTGGGAGTTTTGCAAGGGTTCAAGGGCAAAAAGACCTGTGGTTACAGCTGTATCCAGCTCCAGTTCAGGGAAACCACGGGAAGTAGAGCTGGGCCTTGAGCAGTCCCAGAGCCCAGCTTCAATGGTGGAGCTTGCTTTGGTCCACCTTGTCTCCTCCATTTCCCTCCAGGGTGCAGTGCAATCCTGATGCACCTGTCCTTCGTCCAAGCACCTTTTATGCAAGGCCTGCAGAAGCCCTTCCATCCTAGGCCCAGCTGGCTACCCAGCAAACCAACTTTGGAACCTGGATGATGATAGATAAGAAGGAGTTAATCCAACACCTCTCCCAGGCAACTCATTTCCATGTCAGGGGGCCTGGGGAGGTGGAGGACTCATGGTTCCCAGCCACTTCATTACCAAGGATTCCTTTCATTATCCCCTTTCATCATCCCCACCTTCTGCTTTGAAAGGTTCTGTGTATCAAACAAAGAGTATTTATTAAGAAATAATGTATTTGTTTTGCCATTTTGCAAATTAACTCATCAAAGCTGGCTACAGCTACAAGTCCACACTCCTGATCAGCAGAGATAAGATCTGCTGTGGTGCTGGGTGGGTGTAATTCTATTCCTGAGCAAAGAAACCTATAGTTGCAATGGACCTGTACAGGTTTATGACTGGGAAATGTAGGATTTCCATTTGGACTTTTGAAAAATTGGAAATAATGAGGCTTTCCTGGATCCCGTCTGGCTTCAGGACACTGGGATGGGGACCACTGGCTTAAGTCAAACGAGGCGAAGTGGGTGTGCTGTGGTGGGGTGTACACCTCAGCCTGGACTTTGGGAGGCTGAAAGACCTCTGAGACCCTTTCCGGTTCTATCATTCTATGCAAAGCACCCTAAAACCTTGCTACTCAAACTCTGGTCCCTGGACTGGCCACATTGGTGTCCCCTGAACATGCAAAATTCCAGGGCCCCCTCCAGACTTCCTGTGGCAGAAGCTGCATTGTAACAAGATCCCCAGGAAGTTGAGAAAAGCCCTGACCTAAATCATTCTAGCAGTTTGCTCTCAAGACACAGTGATAATAGGAGGGAGATATGATCGGGGAGACAGGGATAGTAGGGGGAGATTTTGGCCTCTCTCACATGAATCCATGCAGAGACAATCCTCTTCTATCTGCTTTTCTCAACTATGAAAGAAAACTAAGAATCCAGGCCTGCCTCTTGCTGAGGTTTGTGAGGGCAGTCACTGTGCAGGGGAGAGGTATGACTCATAGAGCATGCAAGCTGACCCTTGGAGGGTCATGGGGGGTGCCCATGAGTGGGGTGGCAATGGAGAGCAGCTCAGAGACAGAGGAAGATGAGGATGTGGAAGGCACCAGGCAGCAGCAGGAAGGCAGGCCACGTTTGCTGACAAAGCAGTGCTTCCCCCACCTGGGGATGGCTGGACCTCCCCATGCTGGCCACCACTAGAGGGGTGGGAGGTGACGGAGCTGTGTTGGCTCATGGGGACCTCCAAGCTGTTGTGTGGAGCCTGGACTGTCTTTGTGTCTGGGCAGGACAGTGGCCACCTTCCGGATACAGCTGCCAGGCTACGGCTTAATGTGTTGTATTTTCATAGATTTCAAGATGCATATTTTTTCATGTTTTAAGATCTCTGAAATAGAAATGCATTTTGTATTCAATGAAACCTGGAAAATCCTCTCTAATTGGCTTAACCCAATGAGTTCATTACTATTTGTATTCTATTTCATAGATGAGAAAAATGAGCCTTCCGTGTAGGAAGTGGCCCGAGCAAGGACATATAGCTAGGGAGGGACAGGGAAGGGGCTGTGGTTGAAGTCTGCATGGCTTCTCCTTTGGGGGAAGACTTTGAGTAGGAGAAGTAGAGCCCCATGAAGTGAGAAACCAGGAAAGGGCAGAGTTGAAGTGGGAGATGGAGACCCCTCTAAGGGCAAGGACAGGTGGGTTGGTCTCCCGGGGCTGCTAACCCTCTGTCCTGTGTTTCCCTGTCACAGACAAGAAGCTCCGCCACACCCACAGTGGGGCCCCCGCTGGAGGGCCCAGAGCACCAGGCACCCCTCACCTATTTCCCGTGGCCTCAGCCCCTTTCCACGCTACCCACCTCCACCCTGCAGTATCAGCCTCCGGCCCCAGCCCTGCCCGGGCCCCAGTTTGTCCAGCTCCCCATCTCTATCCCTGAGCCAGTCCTTCAGGAGATGGAAGACCCCAGGAGAGCCTCCAGCTCACTGACCATCGACAAGCTGCTTTTGGAGGAAGAGGATAGCGACGCCTACGCACTCAACCACACTCTCTCTGTGGAAGGCTTTTAGGGGTGGCTCCCACCTGAGTCCTGTTCCCTGAAACTGGGATTTTAAAATGAGCCTGGAATTGAGCCCCAGGTTCATGCCTGTTTGGAGTAGCTATATTATAACTACACTTTCTACCCACAGCTAGACTTGTAGACCTGTAAACCTTCCTTCCCTTCTTCCTTCCCCTCCCTCCCTCACTTCCTCCCTCTTCCCCTCTCGTTCCCTTCTTCCCCTCCCTCCCTCTCTCCCTTCCTTCCTTTTTCTCCCTTTCCTTTTTCCTTTCCCTGCCTCCCTCGCTTCTTCTCTCTTTCTTATTTCTTTTTCGATTCTGTTCTATTTTGGGAGGTAATCATAGGGATTTTTAGTGATAATATTTTATGTCAAATGTTGCCAAGTCTGTGGTCCAGGGGCTTTCATTTCTGTCACATTTCATTTCTTGCAAAAGGCCCCCCTTCTCCAGTGCCTGCAGACCCGTCTTAGGGCCACTGACACCCTCTGTCATTTTGAGCTGTATGCAGTGGCCGGTGGGAAGACCAGCCCTGGCAGCACCTCCCAAGAAAGGCAGCCAAGGGCCCACCCTGATGCCACAGTCCTTGAGCTGTCAGTTCCCACAGTTGCTCCTTTGTTTGCTCTTCTCAGCACTGGCCAGATTTATAGTCTGGGCAGCAAAATCTCAAGGCCTGGGGCTCAGAGTAGTGAGGGGTGGGGAGAGGGTGGGGGAGAAAAAAGAACATCAGGGTGGGTGGGGACAGGCCAGTGATGGAGAGAGGGGCAGAGGAGGGATGGGAACACGCTGTGCATTTTAGTTGGCGAGAGGGGTGTGGGAGGAAGCTTGAGTTTGATGCAGGGAGGAAGAAGGCTGAGGCATGACTTGGCTCCTGATTACCTGGTTATTAAGAAGAACAATAAACTGAAGGAAAGCATTGCTTGAAGAGGTGGTTTTACTGCTCTCCTTGAGGATACGTGCAAGGGAAGCTGGGCTGTGGTAAACATGGTGGAGGATGTGTTTGGCCATTTCTTTCTGAACTCTAGGCCCTCTGCTGGTACTGAGGAGGCCAAGACCCCATGAAGCCTAAAGGTGATAGGTCCTTGATTAGCCTTAGTGCTACCATGTGGGTTTCTTTTTCATTTGAGATGGAGTCTCACTCTGTTACCCAGGCTGGAGTACAATGGCATAATCTTGGCTCATTGCAACCTCTGCCTCCGAGGTTCAAGTGATTCTCCTGCCTCCCCAGTAGCTGGGATTACAGGCATGCACCACCGCACCCAGCTAATTTTTGTATTTTTAGTAGAGACAAGGTTTCACCATGTTGGCCGGGCTGATCTCAAACTCCTGACCTCGTGATCTGCACGCCTCAGCCTCACAAAGTGCTGGGATTACAGGCATGAGTCACCGTGCCCAGCCTTTTACCATGTGGGTTTCTTTAGTGTCTTAAAAGATTCCATAAGTCTCCATTCTGTAAAGCCAAGGCCTCCTCCATCCAAACACCCTCCCTCCTGCGGACTTCTAGAGTCTCAGCCAGAAGTACTGTTAGGTTTAATTTTAATTTAGTTTTATTTTTTTGGCTGAAGAAACATCAGGTTTGTAAGAGGCTGAGTTGTTAGCAGGGATACTTAGCCCCTGACAGTGAACCTCTGCCTTGGGAGCTGGCACGTCCACCTGCTAATAGCACCATTGCCACTATCAAGCAGACACTTCAGTTGGTAGAATTCACATAGAAGTCATGAACTTTTCTGGGGAATGACTTTTCTGGGAAACGACAGTTTCTTTGACACATTTTCTTTGCCCATTTTAAATAAAAGCTCTGGAGAAAGTTGCCTGTTTTGGATTTTTTTTTTTCTTCTGCTTAGGGTTAATTTTGACCCAAATTTCTCTGTATCTGCCTAAAATCCCAGTACACAAATCTTGGATTGTTTTTATTCAGATTTTTTTTTTTTTTTTTAGATTTAAAAGCTCAAGACAGCATTTGAGCTGATACATTTACATCTTTGTTGGTAGTGATGTTGAGTAGGTGGGCGGGGGTCTCAGTCCTATTGGATTAAAAGCCCTGGTTTTCCATAAAAAACCACTATGCAAGATTTTTCAGTGACTCTTTGAAAGGGTGCAAAAGCAACCTCCGTAAAGGAGTTAACGTTGGAAAAAACTAGGAAAGAAATAAAATACTTTACGTATTTGCTAAGATAAATGATCTATTTTTTTCTCTTATCTTGAGGTCAAATGTCTTGGTAGTAGTTCATCTAGGTTTCTTCCTGGGTTACTCTGCTAAGATGGAAACATTTTCATAAAGATTTGTAGAGATTTTTCTGTGCCAAAGTGTTTCATTTCTTATCAAGTTAATCCCCCTTAGCTTTCAGTCCCATGTTAGACAATGTGATTAGAGGAAGGAACTTACACTAGTCTTGTTGATTTTGCAAACTGATCTGTTGCAGAAGAAGATAAAACCAGTCCCCACTGTGCCTGCAGTCCCGTTCTCCCAAGCAGAACATGAGCGTGGCTAGTGGGCTTGTTGTCCAGGAGAGTGGGGAGCTGAGGAGAGAAAGGAAGTCTTTTAACTTGATTGCTCTTCCTGTTATTCATGCCATCGTGAGTAACTTCTCATGATGCTGAGTGTCCAGAGATAAATTCTACCATGGGCATTTCCACAGCAGGCTCTGAAAATCCATCAGTCAGGATCCAGGAGCATGTGACATCATGCTGGAACCATGACCTAAGGAAGCCATCTCATAGGGCCAGACATCACCATGGAATGGAAATTCCAAAAGCCAATTAGTCCCCTCCAAGATCAGTCCATGGAGTGAATTATGGTTTGGAAGGGGTCTGTAGTTACAGTTGTAGTTTGGAAGGGGTCTCCTTTTCCTGAATTTCTAAAGGCCTCTGAGCTCACTGACTTCATTGTTAATCTTCATCAGAGTAACTGTTTTAAAATTAATACACCATTCTGCTATGTGTCTTATTTCCAGATTTTGGAGAATGACAACACATCCAGTTATTTAGCCCTCTTTAGATTACCAGTACCATTGTCTTTTTGGCTTATTTTACCTGAAAACCAGAACCTAGAAAAATGACATGGAAGGAAAGGGATTTGAGGTTTTATCTTCAGCTTTAGTGAGGCTCAAGTGACAAGGAAGATCAATTAAAAACGCATTTGTCTTACCTACTCTCTTTTGAAGTAGAGGCATGAACAACTTGATCTGCAACTTGAAGAAGAGCATGGCCAGTATGATGTAGATTAGTGCTTTACAAGATTCTGATCCATGAGGCTGTCCAATTCCAGCATAAAACAGGGAGCAAGGAGACAAGTATGTGGCAAGATGAAGAAGGTAGACATCTGGAAAAAAATAAAATCACATGACCAAGTGGCTAAAATTTTCTGAACATTAAGCTGGACTCATCTCTAAGTAGAAATTTGAAGACATGTTCTAAAGCTAAACATAAATCTTTTGACATCAGAAACCATAGATAACTTGTTTTGTATTAACTTACTTCATTTGAATGTCAAATATGAGACTCTTAATAATTTTTGTTGAGTTTAATTAACTGGGGGGATTCTCTATCCACTACTTCTAAATATTGATATAGATGATTGCAAGTTGATTATAATGGAGTCTCCTTTATTGGATGGACAGAGACATGATGCTTGAAAGATGTTTTATTCTGAAAGCTTCAGTAGATACATCCAGAAGCTGGTGCTGTTAATCTGTTATTTCTTCTACAGCTGTGGCTGCTGTGGAAGGTGTTTCATTCATTCATTCATTCAACCCAGATTTTTCAAAATTTATTTTATTGAACATTGACAATTTATATATGTTTGTGGGGTATGAATATAATACAACATATGGAATACAATTTACTGATTGATGTTATAATTTATGAATACAATGTGAAATACTTAAATCAAGCTAATTAATATATCCATTATCTTCAATACTTATTTTTTTTTTGTGGTGAGAACATTTGCAGTTTACTCTCTTAGAAATTTTGAAATGTATAATACATTATTATTAATTATATTCACCATGCTAAGCAGTAGATCTCAAAAAAACTTATTCGTCCTTTCTAAGACTTTGTACTATTTGACCATTTCTCCATTTCCCCACCCGCCTCTGTAACTACCATTCTACAATCTGCTTCTATGTGTTCGATTGCTTTAGATTCCACATATAAAGGAAAATACGCAGTATCTGTCTTTCTGTGTCTGGCTTATTTCACTCAGCATAATGTTCTCCATTCATGCATGTTGCTGCCAATGATAGAATTCCCTTCTTTTTAAAGGCAGAATAGTAGTCCATTATGTATATATGCCACATCGTCTCTATCCATTCATCACTTGAGGGACACTTAGGTGGATTTCATAACTTGGTTATTGTGAATAGTGTTGTAATGAACGTTGGAGTGCAGATGTCTTTTTGACAAACTGATTTAAAATTTTTTGGGTAAGTCCCCAGAAGTGGGTTTGTTGGATCATATGGTAATTCTATTTCAAGCTTTTTGAGGAAACTCCATACAGTTTTCCATAATGGCTGTACTAATTCACATTCCTACCAACAGTGTGCAAGTGTTTCCTTTTCTCCATATCCTTGCCAACACTTGCTATCTTTTGTCTTTTTGTTAATAATAGCCATTCTGACAGGTGTGAGATGATATCTCATTGCCGTTTTAATTTGCATTTCTCTAATGATTAGTGATGTTGAACATTTTTTAATAAACATATTAACCATCAAAACATATTTATTGAGTGCCAACTATGGGCTAGGCAGGCATCATGGATTATTACAGATGTCTGCTTTGAAATAGTTTTCTAGTTCAGTGATCTCTTTTCAGTATGAGTGTTTATTCTTATATATGTATATTCCATTATTTATAAATAGTATTCTTGGGCTATTTGTATCCCACAAACATATAGCTAATTGTATGTATTATAAAACACTCACAGTAATAGGAATTTTAAAAGTTGTGTTACATATAAAAATAAATATTTTAACTATTTTATTAGCTACAAAATTCATTTGACCTCATTAACTGTAAATAATATCTAGAAGGAGCATCTTTGTGATATACTGATTTGAAGATCTCGGTTTAACTTCAATTGATTTCAGTGTTTTGTCATAGTTGAAAAAGATACCACACAAAGATATTTAGATCCAAATAAAAAAAGTATATCATTGGCTGTCCTAAATAAATTACAAAAATTATTTAAAAATTCCTTCCATCAATCATGCAAAGGTGTTATTTTAAAATTTGGTCTGCAAAATTCCATTTTAGCTGATGTCAACTGGTCTTACACACTTATTAAAGGAGTTGCCTTTTCATTGAGTTAAAACCACTCAAACTCTTTATTTGGAAATTTTTTAAGCCATCTGAAAAATTCCACTTCTATATCTTTTTTAAAAAGACCAAAGTTATGAAAGCTTTTATAGGTGACACACACCTATATTGTTGTTAGCAACAATATCACATGATGAAAACATTCCTAAACATCTACTGAATTTTCACTGGCTAAATCTTCCCCTCATTGCATGAATTTCAAAAAGCGTCAATGTTATCTTGATCTTGATGGGCTGGATTAAGTGCAACTTGTGTTTATTACTTAAAAAAATATCTGCAGGTAACATATTTTGGACAATCAACTTATCAACCAAAAAAGATCAGCAATTTAATATGCTTGTATTTGTATTACATGTACAAATATGTAATATATATTGTATATGTATATATGTGTGTATATATATTGTAGATGTATATATAATATATATGTGTATACATAGTATATGTATATATAATATATATGTGTATACATAGTATATGTATATATAATACATATGTGTATATATAGTATATGTATTATATATACATATATGTATATATGTTATTTATATGTATATATATAAATTCATTTTTTAGTTTCACAATTCTTTGGGTGTCTTTAGTCATGAGATAATCAGTGATTCTTTTTATGGCACAGAAGGGCCTCATATCATTATAAAGATTGTATATTTAGCGATGTTGGGACTATAAAATTAACCACCCTGATGTCTCCTTAAATCTCAATATGTTGCAATATGATGGGAGTAATTAACTGAGGGCATCACCATTACCCCCCATTTTCATGCATAACTTCCTCTTGTCCCTGAGGACATTCTCAGAAGCATGCATCACACATAACTAAAGTGTGGAGAGCACCAGCATTACAGTGGCCAACTGTCCAAGTTTATTATTTATATTTATTATTTAAACATAAATAAATCTCAATTTCCTTTTCCTTTCCTTCTTTTTTCTTTTCCTTCTTTTTCTTTCTTTAATTAAAAAAAATAAATTAGTAGTTTCTTTTTGCATTCCAGTGAATTGTCTCATGTGGTCCCTAAGACACATGCATCCCGCTTTGGTCACTTTGGAGCTTGTAAAAGTAACTGGTAGATGAGAATGGAGACTCTTGCTTCTTTTGCAATGGGCTATAGTATTCCTGCTTGCTATATTTCTTGCTCACATCCCCTCTGGAGGCCACACGAGAGAAGTTGGCTCTGGCCTGAGGAACTCTTGCCATTATTTGTTCTAAGATGGGACTAGGTCCAGTAGCATCAGTGGTTCTGCCAGGGGGTGATCATGGTGTTTGTCAGGAGTGGCAGTAGCATGGGATACACAGTCTTTATATGCTCCCCTACAACTAAAATCCACTTCTCATTAAAAGTTTTCCTTGTCCAACCTATCCTTAAGTGACACTCATATTAACATGATAATGTTAACTCATCTGGGAAAATCTTAAGAGGAAGAAAACACACTTTTCATAAGGTCAAGATGCTGTCTTCTCTCCACCCAAGC